AAAAAAATTGCATTTAACCTACCTTCAGCTTTTGTTCTTCAGCTTTTGTTGTAAAAGGTATCTTTCGGAGGCTCAATTTGCAGCAGGGAAAACAGCAGCACCGCCATTCCGCTGGCACCGCCATGGCCAGTGCAATTTGTCAGAAAAAATGCCACACAACAGTCACCAAAAATCACCAACTCCCAACTTACAACTGCATTTCACTTTTTATTTATTTAGTTCTAGCCTATAAATAGCTTGCTCTAACTCCGTTGTAATCATCAGGTGGATTATCTTAGTTTATCTCTGTATTTTAAATTTTATCAATTTAAGTAGTGGTCCAAACTCCAAACAATCATATTATTCATTGTAGTGAAATTTTAAATCTTGTTAAAATCGAATGTTTTGGTACCAACTCCTACGCCACAATTAAGCGTGTAATTATATGATTCATCTTTTTAGACCATTCAAAAATACATATTTAATTAAATTTAAACTAGTTACATATGATAAGATGAATAAAATATATGTTAACAACAAATGAAAATGTGGTACAATGTAAGAACTCAAAAAAAAAAAAAAATCTTGATGTTAACGTGAATCCCAGGGATTGAAATATTCTAAATTACATAATTAATTATAAGTGCTGATAAAAAAAAAAAATTATGAGTTAACCAGTGGACTTATCTCACAACCATCTCTGATATCTGGGCGATGAAATAGAAAGCCAATGACTTTTGGCAATAAAAAGAGATTAGAGAACCAAGAAAGAAATGTTTTTTTTTTTTTTTTAAAGAGTTGAATGAGACCAATTATATATAAACACGCGACTCAAAAGATCAAATTACTTTAAGTTATTGGTAACTTATAAGTTGAGGTACTTATCACCTTAATAAAATACCTTTTGTTGTCAATAAAAGTTTTAAAAGATGTTATTACCAACTTAATTATCACTAAAATGTTAACATCACATAAGACAAAAAAAAAAAAAAAGGTTTAGAAATTAGAGTTGTCAACTATTTAAATTATAAGATAAGACAAATCATCTAAAATATAGTTTGCATAGAAATTCAAGGTCCACGGTATGGTTAGGCATAAGATAGAACTTCTGCACACCCCACAACCTTTGTAATAACACAGTTGCATACTTTTAAAAGTTGAGAATTAATTTGACAAGCAAATAAACAATCAAATCATTTTTTTTTTAATTCAAAAAATTTTCAATTATCATTTTTTCTTTTCCTCTTAAGTCTGCACATTTTGATCTTTACCAGACATTGCAAGTTGAACTATAAGAGACTCGGAACATATGAAAAACATATACTCGAGGCAACTAATTTCAACCAAAGCCAAGAGGGCAAACAATCAAGATGACCTTGAATCAGACACTAGACAAGCACAAAACCATAGGAGGAAACAAAATAGAGTATGAGCCTGACCGAATAAAACATAAACTCCAAGCTAGAAATTCCTATGAAGACTGGTAAACTTCCCCTTTTCATCAGGTTACTTGGATTTGGCCCATTACCTTAGTTCATTTCTTTTTTCTTTTTTCTTTTTTTTTTTGTTTAAAAGGTCCATGAAAAGGTAATGAAGATGCTGGCCCAACGGAGAGAATAGATCAGGCCTTGGCCTGAACCAGATTCACTTGGGTCAGTTTAGCTCACAAAAACAATCCAATTCTTTTAAATCTCATTTAGGTTGTGTTTGGAAACTTAAATTTGAATTTGATGAGTGTAATTGAAATACGTGTATTTAAAATACATGTATTTTGAAATACATTGTTTGGATTGAATTAAAAAAAATGAATTTCAAATGCATGTATTTTTAAATA